AGAGGAAGGAAGGAAGGAAGGAAGGAAGGAAGGAAGGAAGGAAGGAAGGAAGGAAGGAAGGAAGGAAGGAGTTGCAAGCCTGATCCCTGAGGGTCTCTGAGTCAAGGGAGCATATTTAGATTGTCATCACCTCACTGGATCTGAGAGTTTCTCTCCTAAGATGCAGTTTTGAAGGAGGGCTGCCCTCGACCCCTTCCTCACTTGGTCAGAACCACCCGCCAATTCCTGCCCTTAAGGCATCCCCTTGATTTCCAGCGTGGATCCAAAACCTGAGGGGACGCAGTCAGGCCTGGGCCCACTCCAGATACCCCCCCCCCAAGCTTGTGGAAGCAGCAGCTCTCGTGTGGGTCCTGGGGGGGGGGAGCGAAGTTCCATCCCGTCCCTCGCCATGATGGTTCTGTGGCATCAAACGCATCGGGGTGTTATCCGTTTTCTAGACCTTTGCCTAATGATTCCTGGACGATCACTGTTTGGCCCTTCGATACTCAGGGTCTTGAGGTGTTGATGCCTCGGTTGCAGAATGTATCCAGACTTTCACGGGGAAACCTAAATAACTGGTTCAACCTGGATACGGTCATGACTGAGAGTCTGGTGACGGGCGGGCCTGGCCAGTCCAGCCTCCTGTGGGAACCCTGGCTGGGGGGGGGGGGATCTGCTGCCTCGTGCCTCAGTTTGGTCTTGTGAGACCAGCGGGAGAGACAGGGCTTTACACAGCCTGAGAGCCAGTTTGGTGTCGTGGTTAGGAGCACAGACTCTAATCTGGGGGGACCAAGTTTTGATTCCCCACTCCTCCTCCACTTGCAGCGGCTGGTGTGACCTTGGGTCAGTCACAAGTTCTCTCAGAGCTGTTCTCTCATGAGCAGTCCTCGAGAGAGCTCTCTCAGCCCCACCCACCTCACAGGGTGTGTCTGTTGTGGGGAGGGGGAGGGGAAGGAGCTTGTAAGCCGCTCTGAGACTCTGAGTGAAGGGCAAGGTATAAATCTAGTCTATTCTCTCTCTTTTTATCATTCCCAGTTCTTACAGTGCGATCCATTATCCTTGCTTTATTGTTGGATCAGTTAAAATGGCTTGTATTCTTTGCATCTAGGTTCTGTGAAAGTGCCGGCCAAAACAGAGGACCTTATTCAGAGTGTCCTGACAGGTAACATTCAGTGCTGACATTGGATGGTCAATTGTGCTCCGGAGGGAGGGGTGTTCGACCAGGGTGTTGTGATCTCCCCCCCCCCTTTCTGCACTAATTATGGCTGTGCAAACTGGAAAGGTTTTGGGTCACTTCCATGGGAAATGCCGTCTTGTACGTGTTGGCTGCAAACGCAATTGTGGATCGTGCCGTGGCTGTTGCGTGAATGAATGGGTTGTCACTTGTTGCAGTCTTCGGATCTTGTTTTTATGCCTATTCTCAGAAGAATGGCACTAACCCTTGAGGCAGAGGAGGACAGAGAGAACATACCAGTAGTCAGAAGTTTGCAAAATTATGCACGGGGGAGAGAAAGTGAACAGAGGGAGCTTTTTCTCCCATACCCATAACACCAGAACTTGGGGGCATCCAATGAAGTGGCTGAGAAATAGGTTCAGGACAGAGAAAAGGAAATACTTCTTGACTCGATGAGTAATTAAACTGTGGGATTCACTGCTAGTGGAGAACAGGATGGCCACGGGCATAGATGGCCTTCCTTGAAAGGGGGTTAGAGAGGTTCATGGAGAAGTCGTCCTGCTAGCCATGGTCACTGAAGGGAGCCTCCATGTGCAAGGGCATCAAACCTTTGGATACCAGCGCCAGGAGGCAGCAGTGAGTGGGTGGGCTCAGCCGCTGCACCCTGTTTGCCCTCCAGGGCAGCTGGTTGGCAACTGGGTGAAACTCTAGGCTGGACTAGATGGACAACTGGTCTGATCCAGCAGGGCTCTTCTTATGTTCTTAATTATAGCCACCCCCATCCCCCCCCCCGTGTTCTTTTGAGCCAGGTCCAAGCTGTGCTACTCGCCCACTCTCCCCACGGCCCAAACCGGCTGCTCCCCGATGAAAGTGCAGCAGAGCAGAGGCCTAACTCTGAGACTTGGAGGCTGCCGGCGTTAAGTGTGGGCGCACCGTAGTAGCTTCAGAGAACATGAGAAATGTCATTCCTTGCGCTTCCCTGTGTGGGGAGCATCGAGGCTACATTTCCAAAGTTCCCGTGTTTAAATGGCGGCTCAGTGTGGAGTGGCAGAGAAGGGTGAGATCCATGCGGATGGTATCCCCCAGGCCCCTCTCAAATGTTATCCTGGTGGGTGGTCCGGGGTCACCCATGAGACCTGTGGCTCAATTGCGAACCCGGGTGTCTTACTCATAGCCTGGTGCACACATTCATGAACACTCATAAACGGACATGAAGCTGCCTTCTACTGAATCAGACCCTGGGTCGATTAAGGTCAGTCTTGTCTACTCAGACTAGCAGCGACTCTCCAGGGTCTCAGGCAGAAAAGGGTCTTCCACATCACCTACAGCCTGGTCTTCTCAACTGGAGATGCTGCCGGGGATTGAACCTGAGACCTTCTGCATGCCAAGCAGGTGCTCTACCGCTGAGCCATGGTGTAGTTCAACCACTACACGGCACTGGCTAATATTTTGCAGCCTGTCAACCCACAGAGTCTCAAGTCACAGTTAAGAGCAGGCTCGAGGTGGGCTTACCCTCGAAATTCTCATTTCTCTAACCCAAAGAGCTTTTACAACCTGTTGCTAAGACTTTGCATTGCATGTCCTTTGAGTATGGGTGGAGAAAAAAAAGAACTTTGTTTTTTCCTCGTTGCAGAAGTCGAAGCACAAACCATTGAAGAGCTAAAGCAACAGAAAGCATTTGTGAAACTTCAGAAGAAGCACTACAAAGAAATGAAGGACCTGGTGAAGAGGCACCACAAGAAGACCACCGATCTCATCAAAGAGCATACGGCAAAGTACAACGAAATCCAAAACGACTACATGCGACGGCGGGCGGTCCTGGAGAAAACAGCCAAAAGGGACAATAAGAAAAAGTATGTCGCATAAAGTTCACTCCTCTTGAAAACAAAATTCTTTGCCTTTGCTATTCCCATTTATTCAAAGGGTATGCTAATTTAAGTTGTCGTTCAGTCGCACAGTTGAGTCCGACCCTTCGCAACCCCATGGACCACATCACGCCAGGCCCTCCTGTCTTCCGCCATCTTTCAGAGTTTGCTTAATTTCATTTTCGCTGCATCTATGACACTGTCTGACCATCTCATCCTTTGCCGTCCCCTTCTTCTTTGACCTTCAATCTTTCCCAGCATCAGGGTCTTCTCCAGTGAGTGCTCCCTTCTCATTGGGTGGCCAAAGTATTTGAGCTTCAGTTTCATTATCTGGCCTTCCAGGGAACAGTCAGAGTTGATTTCCTTTAGGATTGACTGATTTGATCTTCTTGCAGTCCAAGGGACTCTCAAGAGCCTTCTCCAGCACCATAGTTCAAAAGAATCTATTCTTTGGCGCTCAGCCTTCCTTATGGTCCAACTCTCGCAGCCATACATGACTAATTTAAGTAGATGGAGCCAAAGGTAGACGTTGCTCCAAATGGGGCATCAAGTTTCCTTTAAGATCCCATGAATGGAAGCTCACTGAGGGTGTCGTACTTTGGGCACGTTCTGAGAAGAGAAGAGTCCCTGGAAAAGGCAAAACCCTGCCAGGGGAAAGCGGAAGGCAGCGGGAGAAGAGGGGGAGACCCAACAGGAGCTGGGTTGGCTCCATCGAGGAAGCCCCAATGATGGCCCTCCGTTGGCAAGGCCCCTGAGCCAGGCTGTGGAGGAGAGGGTGTTTTGGAGACCATTGGTCCATTGGGTCGCCACAAAGCGACTTCATGGCACTTCACACACACCTGTATTCTCACACGCCGGAGGACTAATCAAAAGTCCCTTGAGAACCAAACAAGCCTTGGGCCAATAACAGGGAAGGCTTAAGCTTTTTGGACTCTTCTTCCAGCTTCCTGGAAAATGATTGTCAGAGACAGAGAGAGAGAAGCTGTGGCGGGTGGCCCTGGGGGTGAGGGTGGAGGAAGACTCTGAAGCTGCTGTCTTCTGGACTGGGGAATATCCAGTCCCCCCCCCACACACACACTTTGGCCTCTCCTATAAATTCTTTATCCCCCCAGCCGCCTACAATCATGCAGGACGGGACGGGAGTTTTTAAAACAAAGATTGGGAGGTGTAAGCCGTGTGCTCCCTCAAGGTCTCTTAGGCTGCGATCACACACACTAAATAATCTGCTTTCAGGCCACTTTCAGTCCACTTTCCGGCTGGATTTTGTGAGTTCACACAATAAAATCCAGTTAGGAAGTGGACTGAGCGTGGATTATGTAGTGTGGGTGAGCGCAGCCTTACTTGGAAACCTGATAGACTGCGGTGACACACACACACACACACCCCGCTTCTTAGATTTTTGACTCGACAGAGGAGACACGGATGGAGATGACCAGCAAAGGCTTATTTAACAGAAAAGAAAGTATTTCATAAGGTAAATATGATGTGCGGATAGCTTAGGTATCTAAAGCAAAGCTGGCCCTCAAGCAAAATGAGTAACCCCTGAGGGGAGATGTGATTCTCTCTTTCTCTGGACAGGTGGTTACCTCAGCAGGTTCATGGCTGCTCTTTTCCCTCACAGAGCACACCTTTTCCACCAAGGCTCCCTCCAAGCTGTGGAGTCTCCTGAGCAAATATTCTACTTTGTGAGCTACCGGCATTAACGTTGTGAGCGAGCCATTTGGCCGCTGCATAAAATCAGTTTGCTCTGGAGCCCCATCCTTCCTCAGCTGAGACAAAAATGTGCGAGCCGGAGGCTAAAAAACTGTGAGCTGGCTCACACTGACTCATCTTAGAGGGAACACTGCTTTCCACAGCACCTGGACACACACCTGTGAGGAATTACGCCCCCCCCCAACAGGATGCTTATATATTGTCACAAAAAGACGAGCTTTCTTCCGTAAGGCCGAGCCCCAAACCCTAACTAGAAAGCCCAATAAAAGCCTGGCTGAGCTGACGCTCCTGTCCGGAGCCACCGAAACCCCCTGTCTGAAGGTGGACTCCCCCCCCTCCTTTTAAAGGCTGAGTCTGGCTTAGCCCCTCCCACCTGGCGGCGTCCCCTGGGCTCCGATTGGGTGACAGTCATGTGGATTCGCATGAGGCCTGGATCACAAGGATTGGTGCAGAGCCCTGGAGGAGAGGCGGGACTTTTACGGTCTCCCCTCCAGCGTTTCACCTTCACAACAACCTGTGAGCTAAAGAGAACTTTGGGACTGGCAGAGCAGGGATTCGAACTTGGGCCCTAGCCTGACACAGCAAACACTGCACCAAGCTGGCTGTTGACAGGCCTGTGCAGCTTCCCTGCCTGCCTCCCTGCCTCCCTCCAGGGGGACTTTTTTGTGGCTGGCTCTGCTCATAATGCCACCCACCCGCCCCC